CGTGTATTAATAAACAGATGTAATCAAAGCCCTATCCTGGTGGCAAAAGGATAGGGCTTGCAGCCACCCAGAGGCACTGCTAGCAAGGACCGCTGCTTCATCCAGCTCCATTCTGGAAGAGTTGGGAGTACAATCACATACCCCTGTAGCTTCTCCCAGTGCCTGCGTGCTGTTTCTTTAGTCTGTAGCAGTGATTTCAGCGAGTCCCCCCTCATCTAACCTAATTGCTAAGATGTCAGGAACCTCCCCAGATCTAGCAACTACTTAACCCATAGCAGTTGTGGTATGCAGCTCTTCTGTATGACAGGAAAAGAAAATAAAATACCCAGCTGCCTGAGATAGAAATAAACACTGAAATTGTGCTTTGGAATTTGAGAGAAATCTCTACCCAGAATACTCCTTTTTAAAAATTTGCAAGATCAGTCTCCCTTGTGAATTAGCTACTTTTATTTCACTTTGCTTTTCTAACAAGCAAGGTTTATTTTTGATGCATGACTAGATTCTTGTGCTGAGGAAAAAAAAATATCAAGCACTGCTGCTCACTTACCCATCCAAACTGGTCTCCTCATCAGAAAGCAACCTGCTGTTTAAAGCAGTTTCCCTTCTCCAGCAGTCATTTGTTCAAGCTTTTGTTCTGTTGCTTGATACTATACACAAAATGGGAAACCTGTTTTCTGATTCAGTTGAGAATTCCAGTACAGGATCTAACTTGAAGGAATAGACTCCAGCTTGCACAGAAATTAGGTGCTGATCCTCAAGTTCAGAAACTTGTAATCTCCTGCTTGGAACTGGAATAGACAGGGAGCAATTGACCCCTGTTATAGCTTTGAGTATTCTAGAACACAAGTGCTTGAAAAACCTTGAAATATGAGAACAAATCTGTATACACAATAACCTTATCTTGAGCCACTTCTGATCTCCAGCAAGGTACATGCCCTTCTATACAAGTAGTTATACCACTGTAAGCTGACAGCCAACAAGACTACACATTCAATTAAGTAAGCATTTATTAGAGAATCCTTTAACATGAAATTATACAAATAAAATTCGTATAAACACAAATCCACATTGTGTCATAACATGAATGGCAAAAAGAAAGTAAAACCATAAAAGTAAAACCATAAAAGAAAACTACTCGGCTGCTATGTACAGTTGGACACAGTTGTGTCATACACTAAATGTCTTTTACAAAATAGTTATTTCCTCTCACGAAGGCCACCCTCCATTCACTCACGATGCGCTGTAAGATGGCTTTGTTGCAGTATCTCTACCTAAAAATCAAGACAAAATGTATGTCAGATCTGTGAAAGTTACTACAAGAATCCTTAAAAGGTCCATTTTCATGAACTGCTTTAAGTCTTCTATATATTCCTTTCTTCACTGTTAAAGATCATATGCATAATTATTAAGGTAACATTAAGAGGTTTTGTTACCCATCAGTAATTTATCTTCCCAAACATAGCCATTCAGCCCATTTAGGAAGCTGTTCCAGAACAATACACATCTGATTTAGACTATTAATCAAGCTCTGGATCAGTTTTTGTCCACTGGAAACACCACCAAAAGGGTTTCAGATTATTTGTTTATCCACCTAAATGACTGCTGTGCAAACATAAGTCAGGTCAGTTTAGTTCAAAATAGTCCACATGCATATGATCTTTAATGTTTTTCCAGATTTAAAAGTTCGTTTTGGTTTGCAGATTTCACTATTAGCTATAAAAAGAAAAAAGCAAGCATTAAATCTTAAAGAATGCACACTTAAAATGAGGTTCCACAATTGAAATACAACACTAAACAGAAGACCAACTGATTAAGCTGTAAAGGCATTTATGTACTTTAACTCCTGTAAAAAACCATTTAAGTTAAAGACACTTAATCTCCAAAAAGATTAAAAAAAAGAAGCCAAAGTCTGAAGTTTTCCACTTTAATCTTTACGCTGGTACATGAAGTTGGAAGAGACCATACCACAGGACAGCGTTTTCTGGTGTATGCCTTGCGTTCTGCCTGCAACGTGCGACCCCAGAGATAGACGTGGTCAGGGTGACACACGGCCTGCAATGAAGTTCCCGCTGGCGGGTACAAACAAGGTATAATGTCAGAGTTAGAAGACAACATTCTTGTTTTCCTTAAGTTGTACCCATTTCAGTACTTTACCTGTTAATACTTCTAATAAGTTTAATTATTCCTCTAGACCACCTGGTATACAACACAAAACAGAAAAACTCTTATGTTTTTCTGAAGTACTAAAGAAGGTAAAGTCACATTTTTATAAAGTTAAAGATCTATAGACACTGTAGGCAAAGCTGGTTTAAAAAAAAAAGTATTTTTTAAGTTAACAGAAGTTTAATTAAAGGAAAAGTCATGCTACTTTTTTACTCTTCATTTGTCTATTGATCTTTAAATTAGATTAGACAGTCTCAGAGTGGACCTTGCACTCATGTACACACCTGTTTCCTCAAGTACTTGGTAGTGCTTTAGTACGGCTGGTAGTTGTTTTGGTGATTGCCGCCACCACGGGATGCCTTTCCATATGTGCTTTGTTGACCTGTAGATAACATGGGGGGAAAAAACCCACCCAGAAGCATTAAGATTAACATCTGACACTCTGAAGGAGATTGTTCCTGTACAGTACACCAACAGGGCTACTCTTTAGAGCCATGTGTTATGAGTAAGAGCTATTCCAGAACAACATACTAAGAGAGGCCCCTGTTTAAAGATGGATGCTATTATCTGGAATGAGATCAAACCCACTTACCACTGTAATCTGTGTATCCCGGTCCATATCCATAATTAGGATAGTTGTACCCAGAGTAGTCGTATCCTCCATAGCCACTGTAGCTTTGATCACTATAAGCGCTATTGTAGTTTCCATATCCTTGATCATAGTAGTTATTAAATCCTTGATTCCAGTTTTGTCCCTGACCTGAAACCAAGTATAACATTTATAAGTTACAGAACTTACTACACTCCTCTTTTACACCACGTCATCTAACTTTCTACGACAATGTTCCTAAGCATCTCATTTGGGTATGAGAGATGGATCATAAGATCTTATCACCCACAACAACGTTAAGAGAAAGACAGCAGGTAGTCCTGCTCATAAATATAGCCAGGAAATCAAAACAACGTAACACTTGAAGGCATGCACTACAGCAGCTCCTGCTGCTTTCCTTTAACTTCCATTTTGGATCAGTAATTGCCTGAACACTAAGTTAGACCACAGGATCAACTTGACTCCATTGTGTTGGTTGCGACTGCTTGGACTTTAAGACCAAGATGTGTTAATGTGTAACAACTGCTTGTTTCTCATCTATTTGCAAGGTGGAGCAAAGTGACTGTCTTCCTGTTTAGCAAACATTGTTTTTTGCCCATGAGCCAGTGTATCCCTTCAAGTGAAAGGGTAACTGCATAATCCATTTTGCTATGCCCCCAAACTGTGGGTATACAAAAGCACCCTACATCCAGCTTGCCACCTCACCACTTGAAAGCAAGAGATTCTTAAGCTTCCACAAGCAACCACAACCACTAAGATGCCATTTACCAACAGGCTACTTCCCACATTCAATTTAAACATGAAATCTGTATGCAGCCTGAAACCTGGAATATCTACAAACACCTTAATGTTTGGTACAGACACTTAAGCATTTACATTAATTTCAACATCCAAAGCACTCACCCCGTCCACGCCCCCTTCCACCTCCTCGTCCACCAGCCGCATTGCTTTTTCCTCCTTTCTGCTGCTGCTGCTGTTGCCTGTATACCTCTTTGGGCTGTGCTACTTTGATCTCACACTGCAAAGACAGAAATTCTTTAACCCATCAAGAATTTCAAGACCATTTTGTGAGTTGCTTTCAGGAAAACCTACAGATGGTTTATTTCATATGCTAAGAACAACAGCTTCCATACCTTGCCTGAACCAATTTGATGGTATCTGCTTTCTAGCAACTTCTTTACCGGCTCTTCATCTGTGTACGTGATAAAACAGAAGCCCCTCCTTTCATTTGTCTTTGTGTCCATGGGAAGCTCAATGTTTTCAATCTGAAATCAAAAGTACCTATCCATAACACATGAAATCTGTAAACAACTTTTTATGCTACCAGAACTATTCAGCAGTCCAGTATCTACGCTGACTGCTTCTGACAGCTGTAAATCAGGCCATCACAACACTACGGAATCATTAACATGCACATAGTTTCAACAATCTCTAGTTTTATGTAAGCCTGAGACAGCTCTCTCCTCACAAATTCTTTTGTCTTAAGACAGAGGCAACACTGCAGTGGAAAACCAGAGCTGTTCTTAAATGCCATTATACTATACCTCGCCAAAAGCACCAAAGTACTCCTTAATCTGTTCTTCAGACGTATCTGGACTCAGCCCACCAACAAACACTTTTTTTGGTGGCTCCTTCCCTTTTAGGGCTTTTGCCCTTTTAGGATCTATTAACTTCCCATCCAGTTTGTGTTCCTTCAGTTCTAATACCTAAAGAAGGACACAAGGAAACAAAGTCTCAGATCACTACAGTGACGCAGGCAGGCTTTGTGCCATCAACCCACAAGAAATCCACCCACCTTCTCCACGCTGGCAGCATCCTTGAAGAGCACAAACCCAAACCCCCTCGACCTCCCAGTGACTGGGTCTGTTTTAATCGTACAATCCACAACCTCGCCAAATCGAGACAGATACTCTGTCAAGTCTTTCTTGCTGGTGTCCCAGCTGAGGCCTCCAATAAACATTTTCCTGAAATGCAAGAAGCACATACAAATACGTGTAAGGACACGTGTGCACAAAACAGCTGGGTGTAAACCCACGCGTGGAGCACGGAGCAA